AACTTTATTTAAACCTTGTTTTGATTTGAAAAKRTTTAAAAGTGGCATTATGTGAAACCTGATTGGTTCTGAGGTATGGGATTTATATAGCTAAAAGCATTGCCTGAAATGCGGAAAAGATCTGATATTATGTTCTTATTTATTCATATATTTGTTATATATATGAAATGTTGTTTTTCCATAAAGATTTTGGTGATTTTCACCCTGTAATAACATAAATAGGGCATCTCACTAGACCTTTCGGTCTAACCCTCGTTTTGTGATTTTAACTATGTATTGCAGGAGGTATGGACGGTAAGGGAAAGGGGAAAATGTGATATTTTTCTATATGCATTTCTACTTGAAGATCTGTTTTGATGTACAGTTTTGATCAATTAGTACAAGTAATGTATTTGAATTTTTAGAYCTTGTATTTGGTCATAATAGATTTTTGAACTAAGGGACCCGAATGGAATGATATCATGTATTTCTTTTGTATGAAATATGTGTTACATGCAATGTATGGTTTGGGGTGTTAGCAGAAGTGGTATCAGAGCTTGAGTTTAAGAGATTTAGGTATTCAACAGCATGATACCTAGACTTAAAYTGTTTTATTGCATGTTAAGGGTCCCGGACATAGTTAGCACCATTGGAAATAAATATGATGAGTTAAAAGAACAGTGTGTAAGGTAAATTTTAATTACATCTAGCCAGTGTAATTATGATTTTACAGGTACACATCTGAACTTGAATACTTCATTATATTTGGGAATGTGAATACGTGATTATTAACACTAAACTCTACAGATGTCTAGCCGAACTAGAAGATCTGAAATAGTGGCTCGTCCAGAATTTGAGGAAAGAGAAGAATCACCCGTAAATCTACCGACTAGTACATCTGAAAATAGTCAGGGAAGAGTAAGAGGATGAGGCAGAGGAAGAAGTCAGTCTCAGGGAAGGGGTCGGACTGGAATACATTCTGAACATGAAGAATCTCACTTTGAGAATATTCAGGAAAGATCGGTACCACATCCTGAATACATAACCAGGGATATGTTGGCAGAAGAAATAGGAAAGTTGCGGGAATGTATAAGGCCGCACGTTGAAGTTGAAGACCTCAACTCCATAATGAATATACCAGCTGAGTTGATTGCCTTTGCGGATCAGAGTGCTCAATGTGTGTTAGAGTAGAGGAGAGTTATAGCTCCTATAGTTCAACCAGAACCGATTGAACTTACCCTAGGATCAATCCATGTCTCAGATGTGCGAGAGGGTCGAGAAATAGAAGAGAGAGTTCAGGTGCACGGGGTATCTATCTGTCTATCTATCTGTCTGTCTATCTGTCTATCTATCTATCTGTATATCTATCTGTCTGTCTATTTGTCTGTCTGTTTGTCTGTCTGTCTGTCTGTCTGTCTTTCTGTCTGTCTGTCTAGCTGTCTGTCCGTCCGTCCGTCCGTCCTTGCGTCCCTCCGTCCGTCCGTCCCTCCGTCCCTCCGTCCCTCCATCCATCCGTCCATCCCTCCATCCATCCATCCATCCATATATCTCTCTCTCTCTCTCTCTATCTATCTATCTATCTATCTATCTATCTATCT